CGTATTCAGTTGGAATATCGAAATCAAAAATGGATGTGTTGCAAATCATTAATGAATCACAAACGATCCAGGATCGAACAACCATCAACGAAAAAATCATCTTGCTTTTGCTTTTTATGTGAAAAAAAGTTGTGTTTTCTCGATGTGTTTATGAATTCATATGTGAAATTTGCTAGAAATTGAAGAACTTTTCATTTCCAGTTCATAAAATGGGCGAAATAACGCATAAACAATTTGATGTTCGTGAACATCAATATTGGTGACAAGCAAGCTTCACTTTTTTTCCACTACGAAGTACACGGGCGCTGCTTGTACGAAATTCCGTTTGTATGAAGCATGTCACGCCGATGATAATTCCAGATTTGTTTCATGGTATTTAAATAACATCATTTCAAATCTCTAACTCTAAATAAATAAATCTTCATTATTTGTTCATGTTGTTCTTGTTTAGGCTTCCTATTTGCCGTCGAGATTGTAACAAACTAAATTGAAAAGTCTGAAAATTTGCATCCCGCTTCAATTTCCCTATCCCCCAAGAATAAAAGCAAAAACGGATGTTAGCAATGTAATCGCCGATAGACGGATCTTTTGCTGTAAATTGATCCACATCCAACTGATAGAGCATTGTTCGATTCAAATTAAAATAGATCATCGCTGGCAGAGATTTGGATTTTTTTACAATTTATGCTTGCGAAGTATGTAAATACCGCACGAGTTTGCCTCATTATTTTTCTTTTCCGTTCCTAGCTGTTTAGCAAATACTGTTTGTTTGATTGCCATCAAACCATTTTCGAATATTTGTTTGCATATTCCACCGATGACTTGAAATATTGCGTAGAGTACAGCAGACGCTAAAAATTCTTAAGCTTCGTACGATTTGAAACTCCCAAGAAAACATCAACATTATTGATAGATTAGATGATATATCCACTACTTTCCAATATACACATCAATTGTGCACAAATATTTTTTTTGAATTTGCAGTTTCTTCATTGTTGTAATCGTTGTTAGATTTTACAAATATTCAAGCAATATTTTCATATCAGCCTTATTCCAATTGATATGTGAAAATTTTCAAATTGTTTAGATTTGTGGCTCAGCATCTTATAATTGCGTCAATTTTAAATCTGTATCCGAAGGGGATAGATAAAGTTTTCCTTCCTCAGTGCTGAAAAACGAATGTTTAGTTACAAACCGATTGTTTAAGAATTCCGAGCGTCTACTGTATCGGAAATTTGTTTTTATATTTAGAAATTTTGAAAAGCAATACACGAAAACTCACCGTAAAGCAAACATATGATGAAGAAATATTAATCAAAGTATAAATAATTCTAATACCGACACTATTCTCTCCTTCTTTATCTCTTGTGAACTTGTTTATAGGTAAAAAGAAATGAAATAGACATGGCATTGCTGTGTGATGTGCAACAAGCATATTGGGAGTAATTCAAAGAGTGTTTTTCGGTTGGTTGATACGGCCAAAACAAAATGTTGCCAAATCTTTCTGAATTTCAGTACCCCGAATAGTACTGTTCCCTTGAAATGGGGTTTTGGGAAACAAACACTACTTTGTATTCATGCCGCTGCCGAATAGTTTGCAGGCGCTTAGTGTGTGCGAACAAGGCAAGCGAGTGAATTTTCTAAATACTACGAGTGATCCTGAGCAATAAAAAAGTTTGAAATTTTTTGTAGCTCTATCGTGAAAGTACAAATGCGCATCAACCAATGGTACCACAACAAACTTCGCGTGCAATAAGGTGAAACCTATAAATTGGTTTTTTATTATCATTTATTTAATATTTATTTATTTTTATTAAAGCAGATGTTTTTCTTTCTAAATATTTATTTGGTTGAAGCTGTATCGTTGTTGCATTTAACTAAATGTTTTCGGCGAGTTTTTTGTCTGTTTTTTTTTTGTTTGCAATTCACTCAAATTTTCTTTCGTATGTTTAAACTTGAACTGTTTTTATGGATTTGGATGAATCAATTTAAATAATAACGTAACGTGGTTGCATCCTAAAAATATTTTAGCATTTTTGTCACATGAATAGAGCAACATCATAGATATCTTGGAAACTGAATTTTACTTGGTAACCGTAAATACTGTGCATCATTGATCGTGGTTAATAATTTTTGGGGATTTGGTCATTCTTCTTGTGTTAATCCTCTTAATTGGTTAATGTTTTTGTGCAAAAGAAAAAAAAACACACACACACACACACACTTAGATTTTTTTGTTTCTTTCATGCTCCAGTTAGCCTTTAACGGAGGTCTTGTTGTAATTTTTTTTTGACATTTGTGTAGCCTTTTAATTATTTATTGGGATTTGCTGAAATTCAGAGCTAAAATTATTGAAAATAGAGCATTCTCGGGAAAGCTATTAAGCTAAATAACAATTCATTAACTACGCGATAAGAATTTAGTGTATGAAATAATGGAACGGCTTTGCATTTTCCTTCTGTATTGCATACAATAAGCTTGAGCTCGAGAATTTTCCATTTTTGGTAATAGTGATATAAACACTAGTTAAAAATGCTTACGTGGGCTCATTATCCTGACTCTGTAATATAGAAATCTGGTATATTTATAGCATAAAAATCCAACAAGTGATTAGTTGTATCACACCGGTTAATCTTCCCCTCTTCATTTTGATTTTCTACCCCCGGTCATGTTATCATTCGTAAAAATTGCATTCTCTGACGTTTCAATGGGACACTTGCTCTAGATGAAAATGTTTTTCCTAAAATGACTGTTTTACTCCCTAACATTTTAACGACAATTGTTTTACACTGATAGAATCATCAACATCTTCATCTCAGATTCAAAACCGTTTATATCGATTGAAATTTGATGGAATAGTTTTCCCCAAAATTCACACTGAAATCACGCAAAAACAAATATTCCAATGAAATCCGAATCTTCTACAAATAGAATACATCAAAATATTTTCCACTCGCTTCGTTCGCGACACTTTTACATATACATTTGAATATGTTGCCATGACTTCTTCTTAGAAAAGAATTCTGGAAAAATTTTTGCCTGCCCTTCGAAAATCACTTCTTTCAAAAAACCACTCGAAAGTCATTAAGGAAAAAGGGGGCTAAGAAAATGTTGCACCAGGGCGCGAGGGAGCAAAAAAAGTCACTGTAATAGCAATCGAAGGGAAATGTTTTCAATCGTTACAATACAAAACTCAACAAGAGAACCAAGCTTATGTTACCACGGGATTATTAAGAGAACAATGTCAGCGTATAAGAGTGTGACACAAATAAAAGAACACGCTCTAATTCGTTTTCACTCACCATTAAAAAATATCATGGTGTCAGATTGAGATTTCCAAATTTCTGCGCATCAGCGCACCCGAGATTTCCAAATTTCACCCGAATTCAAAGTTGGAAAATACTTTTCCAACGATATCCGATAATTCCTTGTGGCGGATGAAGTCGATTGAACGTGTATAGGGAGGTAAAAATCCTAGTCTGATAACATGATGTTTACTTGTCAGAATCAGTTTTATTTGGAATTGTAGCCACTTCTGGATTGTATTATAGTAGGATTTTTATGCTATAAAAAAGCTAAAATGTATTTAATAAAGTATAAATTCAGTAATTGCAAACATCTGCAAGGAACTTTATATGCTTTTTTTGAAATAATAACTTCGAGATAGAAAAATTATTGCCCAAGAGATGCTCGTTAAGAATCTACAATTAATCAATTTACTTTTCGCATTGGGAGTGCGAATCCGTTTATGCGTCTATTTTTTTCTATGCTTAGTTTTATTCCATTGTTGTACCATCGATTTTTGTTTTTGCTGTATTTAAAATACTTTTGTTCGTTTTACAACCTAAACTGATTTATTGCATTTTATTCATTGATATCCCGGGTCCAAATTGAACATCATTAAGCTAATATAAATGTGAATACGACAAAACTGGTTTTGCTCTGAATATGATAACTTCCGATCGCTTTTATTGCAGCATTGTTTTCTTTTATTTTCGCACATTAGAACTTTAATTCCAAACATTTATGTTGGGCTTTGCGCCTGAACCTCATATCTCATGAAAATAGTGGAAAAGTGCAACAAATATATTTAGAAAATGTATTGCATTTAAAAACTCACACACTCTATGATCAATGGTTTGTCACCAATATTGCGCAAGGAGCACAAGTCTTAACATACAAAAAAAGAGAAAGACAAGAATTTGTGTTGCACGAAAATCCATTCTTTTTAGCGATTTTTGAATATACATCTACTATCACTCTGATTTAATGAACAAACAATTTATAAGCTACCAAAAATAATAAATTTTCTACTCTTACTTTTGTAAAATGGATACCCACCAACAAAACAGCAATTGTTGTTGTTGCAAAAAAAAATATTGTTTTAATGCATGAATTCTTGTTCTGTCCTTTTGCATGTAGGGATTCGGGTTTGTAACCTTCGCTAACAGTAGCGACGCAGAGAGAGCACGAGAACGAATCAATGGTAATAGAGTTATTTTGATAATCTCAATAATATCAGTCTATTTGCAGCTAAGCTATTCAAATAATGCATATTTCTGTACCTTTATGATGATTAATACGAAAATATTTACATATTTTTTATATTTCTTTTTGTTGTTTTTTTCTAAAGGCACTATGGTTGAGGGGCGCAAGATTGAGGTGGTGCATGTGTTTCTTTATACAATTGCAAATTTAATCGATACGTTTTTCCATTAATTTATTACATTAGTTGATTTGTTAATTTGCTTCAAATTGATTTTTTTAATCGAAATAATACAATAATTCATTAGTAATTAAAAAAAACAAATGCCTAAACGCAGATGAATAATAATAACAACACGACAACGCAAAATATAACACTTTCAAACCATTGTAATAATTTTAAAATCGAATTGTAATCAATGACATTTTTCAATTTTAACCTATTCGTATACTTAAAACCTTTTTTATATTAGTCAAATGTTTTTTTCAAATAGCAATATTGATATGATGCCAAATTTTGGTACCTTTTTCAATTTGGATTCATTAGAGTCATGCAAATTTTCATTCATTCCGCAAACGATGCACTTTTGTACCGAATATCTGTCAGTCCAAGTTGATGCTTTGTCGATTATTATTTAAACGAGCACTATCCATTTTTTTAGAATATATTTGCATGATTCGATGTCATTCGATCTAAAATCTAACCAAAGCTGAACTAACATTCACTGTGATACACCCGGCGCTTGTCATTGTGATAGCATATGTATCCCATTAATGCATGAACACTTGATTTGAGCCAAAATTGCAATACACTGTTATTATTATTATTCCTGCGATATCGTATAGTGAAACGTTTTGATAAAATTTAGATCCACTTTTTGTTGGTTTTTTTGGATGGCGGTCATAACGCCCCGGACGGACAGCATGCTTTTGCGTTTCTATTACATTAGAGTATGCTGTCCGTCCGGGCGTTATGGCCGCTACTCGTTTTTTTTTTAAGTTTTTGTTTTTTTTTTTCAATAATTTGCATCTATTCTTTTTGTGTAAGCGTCATTATTTCGTTATTTTGTGTTACGTGATAAGTGTTTTTGGTTAGTAATTCATTGAATAATATGTTGTTTTGCTACCAAAATTCCTTAGGTGAATAATGCAACGGCTCGTGTTCAAACAAAGAAGACACCAACGCCGATTGTGCCAAACGGTAAGCGATTTTATTTATTTTATTCACAACTTCCCAATACACTCAATACAGGGTCCAAAGTAGAATTGAATGTATTTTCTGTTTTTATTTTTCACCGTAATTCACTTGTTCACGTCTTTTGTACAGATGACTATGAAATCGATTGATTTGTATATACATTTATATATATAATATATAATATATTTATTTGTGGCCCTGCATTCAATTATGATACAGCAGATAAATCAGATCGATGAATGTAAAGAAAATAGGGGGTGTTGATTTTATGTATGGTTTTCTTTAAAAATATGCTTCTAAGATCTGAATAATCTTCGTTTCGACTTATATGCTGTTAACATAGATTTTAAAGCTAATTTTTGTATTTTCTTTCCTACAAATTCAACCATTGTTTTTGTGCATGTTTGTGCTGCCAGTTTGTGTTCAATGGCCGGAAGGTAAGAAAAATGTTTTTTTTTTAATTAAATACCTCATTTTTATTTTTTCATCAGATTTTTTGTGCCGTTTAAATCCTAAATCAAAGTGTCAGAAAAAATGTGTTATTTGCCACACGAACATCAGAAATATTCATATTTCGCTTGCCTAATTTAGTCGCGTTAATCTCTGTATGCGATTTTCTTTATAATCTACATCTGATACATATACTTCAATTATGTGTATAAATTTACGTTTTTTTAAAAATAGTTTTCATTTTAAGTTTGCGTTCCCATTTCTACTAAAATTCTTCTGTTTTCATCCCATGTATTTTTCCTTTTAACCGCACTTCTCTCACTTGTCATTCCAATTGCGTACAGCATATGTGTTCTAGACAGGCATTCTTTTGAAACCGTATGAAAATTTCAAACTTTCATTGTCTATGTGCTATTTATTCGAAGTTCGAGTTTCTTGGAAATCGAATACGAACATTTGAACTTATTTCACATAAATTTTCCGTTTTGATTTGATCTGTTCGGTGTGTGTTAGTGTGAAAATGTGCTTTACGCGCAATGTGTCTGTATAAAATGTTCATTTGTTTCATGGTTCGATTTATAAAACGTTGTTTTTCAATTCGATTCGATTTATACATTTGAGAAAAACTACAATCTCTTTATTTTCAAGTAGCGTAACATTGTCCATTTAAAATTTTGTGCGAACAATAAGATTTATGTGATAGTTCTTTCCCCCTATTTTATTCTTCATTTGCGCATTGCTCTTTGTTTTTGTTGTGTTTGTTTTTCTCCTCATATCTCATTCAATGATCATATATTTTTCCAATCTTGTTCTGCAAGATATTCAAAATGCATTACGGTCGATTTTATTAGATTTAATATCTACAGTTTACATCAGATGTCACTGTAATGACCTGAACCAATTAATGCAATGCTTTATTTGATATATTTGAAGAAAATTATTGCTTAGTCATTCTTCTGCTCAATTGCAGTTTGTAATATAAGTAATGGTATGATATCTATGATCATATATGATATCTATGATATACTTTTTGCATATTTTCGTATTCAGTTCACTTCACACATATAATGTAATGATGCATCGCTGTTGCACTCAAAAAATAAATCAAAACTGAAATGGCATAAATGATCATCAAAATCAAATTTAAAACATAATTGTCGTAAAACCATCCTGCATAAATTTCCCTATTTTTTTCATTTTTCATACGTGTTTCTTCTGTTCCTCTTGAATGCAATCGAGATTTTTAAAAAAAACCTTGTTCCGGTAACGCTTTTGATTGTCATTCGTATTTCTGGCATAGACACGTTAACCCGTGCATATATTTTTTTTTTGCAATGCATTTAGCTTTAAAGTAAATTTAAATCCAATCAAAAAATCAAAAAAATATGATTAGGCTATAGAATGCCGATGACATGGCCATTTTTGAGTTCGATGCGAAATGCGGCAGCTGTTTCACCAGCCACATCACAAGCGACTGCACACTTAACTCCTGCCCAACAACTTTTATTAGCTCCACGAGCTGTTCACAGACGAAGGTATTTAAGTTTCTCTGATAATCGCCTTGTGATGATCAAAGTAAATGCTCTCTAATTCAGATCTAATCCAAATTTTCAAACTGGCTAAACACGTGTGTGGAATTTTTAATGCATCGTACTAACCTATTGATTGTGTGCCATCTTCTGCATTATCTTATTAAATTGAATGTTTTGAATCGCCAATAATTGCAATTAATTCCGAATAACAATTATTAATCATGTAGTGTTGAATGAATAAAAAAAGAAAAACAAAACATATATGCAGAAGAAATCTAAAGTTCACAGTCTGAATTTGATCGTGATTGCTTTACAATACACAGCAGGTGTTTCACTCGCACAATTTTCACGTGAATCAAAGAGTGATAAGATACAACTATAGTCATAATACATGTTCCTTTTTATAACATCATTTGCCTCCCGTTTTCATTCATTCGCATTTTCCCTCTGGGAATATATTGGAAAAACAGATACTAGTGCAACTCTGCAAAATATAAGCGTATTTCTCGGCATTTCTTCGTACGTGAATGTTCCATTTTAAGTAAAATCTCATGCGCGATCATTTTTCGATCTTTTTGTGCATGTTTCATACTCTCGGTCTTCGATTGGAATAGAATTGATTGCCTTAATCTCTTTATTAAGGAAAGAATTCACCATTTATTTTCTCCATTGCATTTAGTCCGTTTTTGCTTTCATTTTCAGTGTTGAAAATGAATTTCGATTCAAGTTACAATTTGAAAAAAAAAGTGCAGAATACCTATTTTTCCTTTTGTATGGTTAACTTGTATTATTGTTTGTATTTTTGTTGTTCCCAAAGTCTAAAATCGTAATCCAAATTTCCGTTTCGTCTTTATAATTTAAATAAAAATTCACACCACACAAAGTGAATCGAACCACAAATAGTATCCGAGGAATATCGTTGTTTGTTTTAATATCGTCCACGTTTTCAAAATTGTTCGTGACAATAATGATTTATCGAAACCATTCTCCGTTGTGTGTTGACGTTTTGGTAGATTGTGTAAAGAAAATCAATTAGGGTTCGTTGTAAGTTGAAGTTCGTCGCAACCCCACATATTTTAAATGGCATTTCCATTATATAAATATAATTGTTAATCTAACCGCATGCATTTTCCTTTATTTTTTTCGTTTATTTTTGGCACGCACAAATTTTGACCACATACATTTCGAACAAACAATACAAAAAACGAAATCAATTGAAAAATCACGGCATCGCTACTACAACAACATCAACGTTCAATGAAATATATACGAAACAAATACGAATTATTAAAAAAAACGAATAAAACTTATCATATGACGAAAACTTTTGAATCAAAACTCAAACCATGCAAAATGCAAAAAAAAATCAAATGAAAATTGACACAAACGCGATATCTCAATCAGCACTACGTGGAGTAGCAATTCAAAGAGGACGAGCGGCTCGAACTGCGGCTGTTTTTCCGCCAGCTGGAGCAACCGCTACAGCTTTTCGTTTGCCAACTCCGCTCGCAACAGCTGCAGCGGCCAGTTCAGCTAATGCTTTGCATGGATTTGCGCCGTAAGTAATAATACCTATTAATTTAACAAACCAACCAACCAACCAACCAATCAAACAAACATTCAGAAATCAGCCATCAAAGAAAACAAAAAGAACACAACAACTACTATAAACAGAAAATTCCGAAGAGTAGACACAGTAGAGCTGTAAAAAAACGATTGACGTTGACATTATAAACAAAAACATCGCGGACTTTATTATGACAATTTATCTTTATTTCAAAGTAAAAAGAAACAACAACAACAACATATAGGGATAGGAAACGTTACTTTGTCGAAGAATTTACCTCATTTTCACTTCCGTGTGGTTTTAATTAGGAGACACAAGCCGAGAATTGTAAAACAAAGCATTTGACTGCGTGCGAACGAAAAACAACATTCAAATTAATTTAGAAATGAAAAAACTCATGATTTATTCTTTGGTCTATTTGGTAATTTTTGACTAACAAATTCCTCTAAAATGTGGACATATTTATTTGTATTTGGAAAAAAAGTACAAAAGTACTTGGTGCATGTGTATATTCAAATGAATGAATGACTGTATGATTGTATTTTTGTTTATAGCATCGGCATATCATCATCGACATTGCCAAACGAACAATATTTTAAAATACAACGGTTTTGTGGTTTTTGCAGCGTTTGTGTCTCTGTGTGTATATGTATATGTGTGATACGGAACTCTTAGCGACTTTTTCGATTATCTTTTTAATTTTTTTCATTTTTTTCATTTTTTCCGTATGAAACCCTTTTTTTTATTTTCCCTATTTAGTAAATTCAATTTCAAAAAAGTTTGACTTTGTCAATAAAAAAATATTTTTCGGTGCGATGCACACCGTTTTGTTTAGTTCAACAACAAAAATTGAATCCACTTGTGTATTGGTGTTGCTGTCGCTTCGTTCGTCTTTCTTGTTAGAGTGAGATATGTATATATGAACGTAACAGCTAGCTGTCCCGCTCAAACACACACACTAACTGGCATTCTGGATTTTTCATTTTGGCTGATTCTTATAATTCGCATAAACACGAATTCACAAAGAAAAGTATATATACATTCTGAATGTACTACTGTGTCCAAAAAGTAAGGTGACATTGCATTTATTTTGAAAATTCTTTATTTATTCTTCCAAATCAATTTCATCGCCTTCAAAGTAATCCCCTCCCGATACAATGCACTTATGCCAACGGATTTTCCAATCTTCGAAACAGTTGAAAAAGTCGACTTCAGGGATGGCCCTCCGTCTTCGCTGCGGCTTCAATCTGCTCTATCGTCTCAAAACGGTGTCCCCGGAGCGGTCTTTTGAGCTTGTTGAACAGCCAGAAGTCGCACGGTGCCAAATCAGGTGAATACGGTGGTTGTGGAACGATATGAGTCGAGTTTTTGGCGAAATGTTCACGAAGAATGATCGCATTGTGAGACGATGCATTATCATGGTGCAAAAACCAAGAGTTGTCTTTCCACAATTCCGGCCTCTTTTGGCGGATAGCGTTACGCAAACGACGCATAACACTCAAATAATATTCCTTGTTGACTGTTTGACCCGGGGGAAGGAACTCATAATGCACAACACCCCGATAATCGAAGAAAACAGTCAACATGACCTTGATTTTTGAGCGACTTTGGCGCGGTTTTTTTGGTCTCGGCTCACCTTTGGCACGATATTCGCTCGATTGGTCGGTTGTTTCCGGGTCGTAAGCATAGATCCAAGTCTCGTCTCCAGTGATCATGCATTTCGTCTTGTCAATGTAGTCAGAAAGCATTGTTTCACACACGTCAACTCGACACCTTTTTTCCAAAAAATTCAATGATTTCGGTACCAGTCGAGATTTGACGCGTTTGAGGCCCAAAACATCCTTCAAAATGGTATTGACTGAGCCTTTCGATATGCCAATATCATCAGCAAGGTCTCTAATCGTTAATCGACGGTTTTCCAACACCAAATCTTTAATTTTTTGGACGTGAGCTTCGTCGGTTGAGGTTGATGGTCGCCCAGCACGCTCGTCGCCTTCGACACATTCACGGCCTGCTTGGAACTCACTATACCACTTGTAAACATTTTTTTTCGACATAGCCTCATCACCAAAGGCCTTCTGCACCATCCTCAACGAATCCGCAGCAGAAAATTGATTCCGCAAACAAAATTTAATGCAAATTCTTTGATCAACAAATTTCGACATCGCAAAAAACGAGAAATTCACTTTTAGCAGTCCACAAAACGAAGCGTATCTCAAACACTAATGAATATTTTGACGTGTAATTTGGCAGGGATGTCAAAGACAGTCCTACCAACCTAAAAATAAAAGGATTTTTTCAAATTCCCCAGCGCGCTAAATTTTAAATGCAATGTCACCTTACTTTTTGGACACAGTAGTAGTATATATTAAGCCGACTTATTGGTTTGCGTTCACGCGTATGCCTTTGTCGTCGGCCCCGCATACTCAGTGTGGTTGGTTAATAAGCAACTGTGCTGCACGACTCACGGTCGGTGCAACATACTGTTCGTTGATATACACTTCGGTGTACGGAGAGAAGTGGATTACTCATGAGGTGCCACGCAAAGTATATACAAGCTTGCTTTTTTTTCCTTTTTGCCTTGGTTTTATGGAATGGAAATTAATTAAACAATAATCAACTTTGCAAACGGCATGTGTGCCAATATTTGTTTGGATCTATTTGCAATTCACAAGAGAAATTGCACCACAAGCTGGTATTTGCAATAAACGATTCGTTTTTATTCTCAAATTGTGTATAATTTGCAATAAATGCAAACTTGTAATGAGTTCCAATGAGGACGTGAAAAGTATTGCATTTCCTTTTATGTATTTCTAGATTGTTTTTTTAAGTGTAGTCTTCTTCCTCGCCGTCACTACCATCATCATTATCGTAATTTCTTGGAGATGGTGGATTCTGTATGTGTGTAAAAAGCAACAGCCATGAATGTTTCTGATTCGCAATTGGTTTAGAGTAAATCATTCTTTCTAACATTGTTTGTGTATGTGTGCACTGATTTAGCACATTTGTATCCACAAGTGGATAAGGATAAGATTTAACTTTGTAATTTTCAAATATTGAAAGAGAGTCGCAAGTTTTTATTGGAAACACAGAAAAAAGGAAGCATGCAACATATATATTTATATATATCTATATAAAGTGTATGCACGTCTAATTTCGTATCTATAATGAATACGGAAAAGGTTAAAAATCGTTTTGTTATGGCTCTTTTCGATAATCAGAATTTCAATTAAGTAATTTAGATAAACTTTTTTACACTAGCTCATGAAAACCGCATTGATTTGTTTGTATGTTAGTAAATTCTCAAATTAGAAGGTTCGCCCAGGTAAACCATTTGGAAATGTGGTAAAATCTTCCCAACAAATCTTGTCATATATTTATTAGGCCGTACCTTGTTCTCACCTTTAGGAAGTGGATCATTTCTTATCTCCATGTTTACACAAAATGCAAGCTCAATATTTCTTATTACTGTAGAATGTCACTGACGCACATATGTATAGCTAGATTTCAGAACAGTGATTCGTCCCTATAATTTAATATTAAGAAAGAGTTGATGTCCCAACCGTATCGATTATGTTACCATTACTAACAGTGTAGCTTGAAGTGTCACCATCACTATATTTATATACGTACATAAACTTAAAGTCAAATGTAATAGTAAGTGATTGAAACCGAAAAAAGCAACATTAAAACAATCGTAAATGATTAAACCTTCAAGTAAATAAACTTTATTGTGTCATACAAATACATCTGTCATTCATAAATCTGCTTTGCACGGCTTTAAAACACCATATATTATGTTAATGCCAAGAAAACCGAACCGAAAAAGTACCCGATTTTACGTTCGTTTTTAATAGAAACAGTTTTTTTTTTTGTTATTTTTTTCCTTAAATACTTCAGAGGGGACAAAAGATTTGTCACCAATGAATGTAATATAAAATATAATCCACAATTGTGTTTTAAGAATAAATAGAGCTTTAATCGATCATTTTGTGTGTATATATAGATACAAATGCTGAATAACAACAAATCAAGAATGTGTCCGTTTTGTTTATATAGTATTTCTAATTTTTCTTGAATATGCATAAACATTTCAACAAGTCTGAATGAAACAATGTTGTAGTGCTCGACTAACTCAATATATTAACTATGAATTTAACAAATCTACGTTAATGCTCTTGAAAATTGTAATTGTGGGCTTGTCTGCACCTTTGCAGCATTACGAATGGGAAAAGCTATGTTTCCTATTCTAATATTATTTCCAAATGAAACTTAGAGCTAGAGTATGGGAAAACTTCGACCGCAGCAAAGAGCGCGACAATTTGCTTAAAAGCCAATATATATATAACTTTATATGCTATATTAAACCCGGTATACGTCTCTGTCGTCGTCGTGAATGTGTATACAAATGTGAAATGTCGAAATGGCCAAATGCCAGAAAATTTTGCAGTTCAATGATTTAAACCGATCGCATAGTTTTTGTCAACCACTATTTTTACACTTTGCTGTTTTACGTAAATTGTTCGGACTCATTGCCCAATGTTTCCTTTTTCCCTCTTAATATTTTTTTTATTCATTCCATTGGCGCCGAACACGCAGAAGTAAAAAATTTACTCAATACTACATGGCTGTGCCAATGCAACGGAATAAATCAAAGTTATGTTCTTTGCGTTGATTTTCTGCTCCATATTCTAACTGTATACAATACATATTTCTTGGTCGCCTCGTTTGGTACTACCCCAAAAGTTTTCAATTGTTTTTTTATTCATAGGGTGCACGTTAAAATAACACACTGTTCAATTTTAGATGATACTGCGGTCCGCACGAATCTAGTGCTAAATACTGCATGGCGCGGGCTATTGTACCATTCAGAGGTTTTGGCTCGATATTCGGTTCAAAGTTATGTTTGTACGTACACCACAGGCCATAAGTTTGGATACCCCTATGAAATATATTGTTTCTACGTTTTTTGAACATTTTCAGTTGAAATTTAGTATTGGACATGAAAATATATCGAAATTCTGACCGAATGGAAGATTTGGAAGATAACATTTGGCCGGCCTATGGCCATCTTTTGGCCTTTGAGCTGTGGGAGCCAAAATCGAAGTCTTAAACGGGCCATCGGATTAAAAAGTTATATACGCCATTGGTAAGGTCTTGAAAAGTAGATGTGTATTAAACATCAAAATCGGCCAGCTTTTGGCCAAGATATGGCTGATTGAAGATTTCTGCCAAAAATTACAAACAACCATATCTTGGCCAAACGCCGGCCGAGTTTTATGTTTTCCACCTGAAATCACATCTACTTTTCAAGAACTTTCGAATGGTGTATAAAACTTTTTAATCCGATGGCCCGTTTAAGACTTCGATTTTGGCTCCCACAGCTAAAAAGCCAAAAAATGGCCATAGGCCGGCCAAATGTTATCTTCCAAATCATCCATTCGGTCAGAATTTCGATATATTTTCATATCCAATACTAAATTTCAACTGAAAATGTTCCAAAAACGTAGAAACAATATATTTCATAGGGGTATCCAAACTTATGGCCTGTGGTGTATATGCAGCCAATATTGAGTATATTCAACGTTCACGCACACGCACGCAATAAAAACTATGAATGCCACGGTAGCTCGTGCAATGCAGTATTTATGCACTAAATTCGTGCGGATCGGTACGTAAATGTCAAAGAAAGCACATTATCAGGATAGTATTCAGCTGGGTGTAGTTTTTGCGAAGCAACGAATTTGATTGTACACAAAATGCTTATGGAAATGTAGAAATTCATAACATAAAGATCAGGAGTCTCCAGATAAATTTACAGTGATTTGGATCGCCGCAACCATTTTCTCAACATATGCATCATTTGATGTGTTGAATTTTATGCATTTATTACGCTCTTCTGCTGTCAGTTTTCCATCTCGAGCATAAATCACCGTAAACTAAGCTGTGGTGATGTTTTAATCTTTTTTGAATTGTTTGCTTAATACTAACCCTAGTGGCTTGAACAACTAAAAATCCAATTTAATTGAAGCAAAAAATAATTTCGATAACATTCTTTACAATTTAATGATCTCATTTATACGTTTTCATTCACCTTATTTAGTGTTTACTACGACCCATTCTTGGTTGCGGCAGCTCAACAAGTTCAAGCTCAAGCTGCAGCAAATTCAATTCAAGCAGCACAAGTTGATTCAAACTTTCGTCTCCAGGTTGGTTTTATTTATAAATTATTAAAATATGTAATTTTTTATGTTTACTTACGAACCTTTTATGCAACTATATGATTTTCTCCTTTGGCAATTTTTTTTATATTTCAAACAAATACATTTCATTTTTTTCATTTAAAACCAATTTGATCCTTATACAAACATTTTTATGGTGCAATTTTCATTTGGTATTTATATTTTTGCAAAAAGTTTAATAAACATTCATGTCAATTGCTTCATAATTTCAATGGTATTCAACTAGATGGAAAGCTTTGCAAGCATTTGCAGACAAATTTACATAGGAATTTCCTATTTGAAAAAAAAAATCAATAAGGGAGAGTCGTCTAAGATGGACACATTGATTGACCGCTATAAAAGTCTTAAATGTGGATATTGTTTGAGACTTATATATACCGTTGGAAAGAGGACCTCAAAAGGAAAGTTTTTGCCTAAGATTGTCATTCGTTTGCATTGCAAAAAAGAATTTTATCGCACATTTTCCGAACACCTTGAAAGTTGACAAAAAAAATTGTCGTCTAAGATGGGCCACCCCACAAAATTTGAAAAATAAGAGAAATAATGAAATGGTAACACCATATTTCGAAAGATTTGTCAATTTTTATTCATTTATGTGCTTACAGCGATGTACTTTCCGCGTTTTTAATAAGCTGACGTCCACGACGATTTTATGAAGGTCTTGGTGTAGCTGGTCGCAATAGGCCAACATCAGGCAAAAAATACCATAGAATCACTTTAAAACGCTATGCGATTGCTTAAAACACGATTTTCAAACATAACAATAGAGTTTGAGCGCATAACAAAAAAAATGTTTGGCCCATCTTAACCAAAACACGCCATTTTTTCATGACGACAAATTGTTTTCCCATGATGAAATACACCAAAATTATCTTTGTACACTGAAAATAGGTACTTTTTACAACACGTTTGATATATTCACTTTCGAAAATTGTCAAAAAAATTCACACCGTGCTTGTCGACAAAATGCACTAAAAATGATTTTTCACAAAATTTTGAAACGAACATGTTTTATCATACATAGAAGATCTCTTTACTCCTCTGAGCACTACCAAAACATAGCTACCGATGGTGCATTAACATGTTGCTGATCAGTTTGCGGTTAATATGGCGCCTGCCAAAATTTTCGGGGGTGGCCCGTCTTACCCGATGGCCCATCTTAGACGACTTCCTCTTATATTTTATTTCATGATTTATGAAAAATTCAGTGGTTCAAAGTTAAAATTTCGAACAATGTTCCTTTTTAAATTATCCATCTAACAATTATTAGCCTAAATGTATCCGATTCCGGTCACATATCCAAGCTTGAATATGGGCATAGATTTAACCTTCAAACACTTTCGAACGCTTGTTCGACCGTTCGACATGATTTTTAAAAAAATCATATTGTTCGTTCGTTCGTTTGAAAATGTTTTGTTCTTTGTTCGGTCCGAACAACATTAATTTTTGTATGAAAAAAAGACTTTTTCGGAACAACGAACGACGAACAAAACATTTTCGACGGAACGAACGAACGTTCGAAGCCAACACTACCGTCACTGAAGTTATCACGAGATCTTTGATCAAAAAAGTGAAATAGAAACCACAGTGAATCAATAAATTTTTCATGTGTGAGACATTTTTACTGAACTGAGTGCTTGATTCTTCTCGGTGGCCTAGCATCGAAAAGAAAACTAATTTCTGTATTGAAAACGGCGCCCGAGCAACTTAGGCCATAAAATTTAACACAATACAAAAATTAAGCGACGAAAAGCCATTTAAACTATGTATTTATTCATTGTCAGCTACATTTGTCAAATCATTGTATGAATGTGTGAGCGTGGCGTATTTTGAATTGAAACGGAGTGAAATGTTCTAGATGATTTCTGCCAGCACTCACACGCTGGCTCCAGATACATTTGAGTATTCTAAAAAATAGAGTGCCCGAACGCCTTCGGTGGAATTGATTTCCCCAACAAACGATAATTGGAGCTGTCCACGAAAAATTCATTTTCAGAAACGAGGATGCATTGTTAGTTCATTAAAAAAACGAAGATATTTTTCAAATTCCGATGCTTAGGAAGGGAGCTGACGATCCCCCTGACCCTCTTCCTGCGTACGCTCATGATCATTGTGTTCTTTCTAAAAATAGCACGTTGTTCTGAAGCCAATAAGTAAACAACAGCCTGCCGGGATGAAAAAAAGAAACAAATAAAATGTTCTCTCCGTTGAATATTTGTTTATTTCATGAAATGGAGTGATATCAGCGTATATTAGAAATAAGTTGACATGCTGTTCGATCGTCTGAGTTTAAAGAATTGTGTGACATTTATTGTTTTTCAACTATATAGATTGATTCGAAATCTAAAATTATACAGGCACAAGCAGCAAATCCGTTAATGAATAAGACAACCATGTCACAAGCGGCGGCGGCAGCAGCAGCAGCAGCAGCAGCTAACAATGTGCAGGCAGCCGACTATCGATCCACTCATGTTTTACATCCCAAGTAAGTTTTCATTTTAGTGATCAATTCTGATGATATGGAGAAATTCGGAAAATTCCAAAACGTTCAACGTTCTATATTTGGCTCGGCCAACCCACAAAATATGAACTCTTCAAAACGCATACTCATTAATTTATTGCGATTTTTCAACTGAATATTTTGCTCGAATTGTTTCTTTGATTCTATCTTGTCCTCTTTTTCGTTCCTGTCACTCATCAAGAATTTGGCGATGTTTGGAAAAAACTAAATATTCTCTTGTTCTGTGTGATCCTGATTGTATTTTTCTTATTCTTATAGCCTTACGACCATGACACCGACGGCAACAGTTAATAGTGTGCATGCGGCACAAGCGGTCGTTGCTGGGCAGCAGAATGCGTTAATCGCACATGCACAGCAACAGCAAGCCGCGTATGCAATTGTAAGAATCCAGTGATTTGAATAAATTTTAGAGAATAGCAAGCAGCAATTTCCATATCTAAGCTCCCCGCTTTTAGATCGGCTGGAAGCCGCCAAGCGATACAAGAGGCATTTAAATCGTTTTAAATCTAACCACTTTTAAACACTCGTGCTACATGCTATTTTCTATAATGACAAAAAAAATCTTTTGCAGAACCATTTACAAGGAAATATCCTGAGCGAATATCCTGAAGGGGCTTTGCAATAATTTTTGTCGTTAGAATTGAATTTTCGGTCGTTTTTTTTTCTCAAATCAAAAACCATTTTCGACATTTCAGCCGGCAGCTACATTGAATGCAGGGATTACGGGTATGCGAGCAGCAGCAGCATATGGTGCAGCTACAGCTGCAGCTGCATCTGTTCCAAATCCAAGTTTAGCTAACTACGCAATGGCAGCTGGGTAAGCAAAAATATTCTCATCATTGGAACCTAATAAAGACGGACAAGAACAATAATAGCGGAACAGACTCGCGACTTTCTATAGTGCAAAACTGGACGCGGTTGGCGTTGATTTTCACATTTCAATTTTTTTCACATTATTAGCTTTCGATTGATGAATGACGACGACGGCGATGATGACGACGATATATATGTGTTGGTTGGACGCTTGCTTCGAAATTATACATCAAATTTACCAATTTTAATTTTTCAAATATCGATATGACCTTCACCAAAATATTATATTGCCAAATTTAGTTAAAAGAGCCAAATGAACTATTCGACATTTTTGTCATTTATTGCCTTTTTTCTATTTTACATAGTTGAGAATTCAACTCTTGGCGCTTTTGTTGCAAGACCTAGACATATCCACACAATTCAATGAGTAAATGTGCATAAGACGTCGACACTTCATCGAAAAGCGTTTATCAACCAATCAAACGCAAATACAATAAATCCATACGCAGAATTTCCCAATCAATCAATCAATCAAAATGTGAAAAAAAACAAGTCTCAATCAATGTTCAATATAATTAACCAATCGATATTCAATTGGTGCAAATATACATATAAGTCACGGTAAATTTACGAAAGTGGTTAAATGAACCACAATGACTATGACATTGGTGATAAGATTTTTCGATTTCGATGAGTATACATATGTCATGATTTGAGAATAACAATATTTCTTTTACATCGTCCCATTCAGATATGCACGTGAGTTTCAGGATCCATATCTCAGCCATGGAATAGGTCCTGTACCTGGCTACGGGGCTATGTATCGAGGAAGTTTTAATAGATTTACACCATACTAGTGGCCCCCTTGGGCCTCTCAACCCCCTGGGCCAACCAGGATGAATTTTATGCACTGTAAAATGCATATGTAAAGTCTTTTAGAATCAAATGCAGAAGAAGAAGAAGAAGAAGAAGAACCATCAGACCATTTATTGATTCCCCTTCGTATTGAGAGCATTACTACAATTACCTTTGTTCAGCGCAGTAATCATCGAAACAAACATACTGAAGCAAAAGAAAACATAAACATAGACAAAAAAAACTTTGTTCAACTGGAAATTAATACAAGTATGTCTTTAGAATTGACGGACATCTTTGCGATAGATATTATCGCACAGAAAAAGAGAAACGGACATTTTGACAACAAAACGCACTTGAAACAGCTCAACACATTTTTTTCTATCCAATTTTAGATTTAAGACACGAATAAAGAAAACTATCATTAGCTCTCATAAAGTCATAAAAGCTACCGAACAAAAATCATAAATCACCATGGGGCATATTTACATAGCCCTTCAAATGTCAAATGTGTAACATTTAAGTTTTATAATTCTCGCTCAATTGCCACACAGATATTCCTCACATCGAAACAAAGTCAAATTTTTTTTCAGATTGTTGATCAATCATTTTCGATAAGTCGGCAATCAGCAGAAAGAAATGGATGCCACTACAAAATCTTATGAATTCAATGGAAATAAATGTGTGTCATGGAAAAGGCATTCGCAGTTTTTTTTAGTTTTACGCACAAATAATAATTAAAGGCGGGTCTGAATATATGATTTTTTTTCATGATTTCAAGTGCTTTGCATTGACATTATGCGAAAGAAAGAAAGAGAGAAGCAAACAAACAATACTCAATCAAATTTAAATTTAAGATGAATTTAAAACAAAAATCGTTTCAGTTATGTGTGCATTTTATTGCAATACAATGTAACAGCTACATATAACTAACATATATGAAATTAGCCATATTCACAACAAAACGTGAGCAAACATAAATATTCAACCAAAAAGAAATCATTTTCTTCTTTAGTAATACATAGTTATAAATGATGAAAAAAAAGCAGCCAAAGTTGTTGAAACAGTCATTTAGGAATAGAAAATTTATTAGGATAGATTTAGATCTTCTGTTGTTTCATACTCACTATTCTCACAATGAAATATGCTTGTACGAGACGCTTTCTGTATCGATATCGAATTAATTAGAAAAGAACACACAAATTTTACTCTTCCATTGCTACATTTTGATTATTTTATTTTCCTCTACACATTCGATGTCACTTCGCTTCATGCGAGCAAGATATTTCACTGTGAGAAACATAATCACAAACAAATCTCAATTGTTGAGAATACTCTGTCAAAAACAAACAAATACTCAATTCAGTTTATTTGAAGTAAATCGTGATGATTGTTGACGTACAGCATACATATCTTTCAGAATTAAAAATCCGTAAAAAATGTTTATTCCTGTTTTTTTTTCTCTTGAGCACGATTTTCTATCTAGGCGAACCGTGGGAAAAATGAAGAATTACCAGGAGAAAATTGAAAATGGTATTTATTTTTGAATTAAGTGTCTTCCAGTCTTACTCGCTATTGTTGCATGTCGAACACAAAAATCTATGCAAGGTACATACACATACATACACACACACACACACACACACACTGATTTCGCTGAATGTTGTTTCATTTTTTGTACGTCGGTATTTGTGTGTGCGTTTTTGTTTTATGTGTTTGGGATAGCATTTTAGATTTTTTTTTCAAATGGTTTTTTTTCACTGTCAAGATGCAATCATCTGACGCATCTTACTTTTAAAAGCAGTAATTTTTATTGATAGAATCATAAGAAAAATGTGATGTCAAAGCAAAAATATTTGGGCCGGTTATTATTGCCGAAACGATAGCATCTGTACAACAATATTTATTCATGTTTAAAAACAACTCATACGGAAAAATATAAAAATAAAAACTGAGAAATTGATTCGTGTAGCAAATATTCGTCGGATAAAGTGAAACATTCTTTATTTAATCTTCCAAATAAGGAGCCTATAAGTGAGGCTGAGATGCTTAACGACGACAATGTAATATTTTCCAATTTTATCGTCTATAACAATCGTCGTTATTTTGGTTTAAATCATAATACAATTTTCCATTAATAATAATAATATAATTACATTTTTCCATTTAAAAAATTGAGAAAAAGACATTTGACTTATGCTTTTCGTGCACTTTATTTTCTTTTTCAAATTACAATGCATTTAATTTAGAAGAATGTACTGATCTGTAGATCTTTTTCAAATGGGACTATTCATTTTTTTTTCGGCCCTCAACACCAATGAAAAATCTTTTCATTTGAGATACCTGTGGTTTGAAGAAAAGAGGATGAGTTTTAGACAATGATTTTTTTTATTGAATTTGATGCAACAACAACAAAAGCAGCTAAAACAGCAACAACAAAAGAAACTAAAACAGCAAACTAACCAAAAAAAAACGAAATCATTAAACATTATTAACAAAAATTCATTCTTTTAAATGCGTGTAATAAAAAGCACAACCAACAATAATTACAGGTATTGCAATGCAGGCAACGGTAAGTTTATTGCTCCAAGTTAAACCAGATGTACAAAACCGCTGCAAAACTGATGGCTGGGCTGTGAGAGGATCCACCAATTCGCGTTGCAAACGGCTTATGATAGCATGAAATCCTGGTACCATTGTTAATAGTCCGCCTTGCATCGACTTTACTGTGTCTTCGATAACAAAGTCTATCTTTGTTTTTTGCATTGCGTCACCATTCTAAAATTGAACGAAAAAAAGATATATCCACATTTCATCAGAAGTTTTTTTCTTCTCTTTCTCTTTCTCTCTCACTCTCTCCCTCGCCAATGCTTACCAGCAACGTCAAAATAATTGTGCCATTGTTTTTCACGTCACCTAGTAACACGAATACTTTGCGCTCACGTACATATCTAAGCTCGTATAGTCGGCGGTTTCCATACCAATTTCTCGGCAATAGTAAGGAGCCACTGTTTTCTTCTTCTGGTTGGAGTGTTATCTGTGTTCAAAACCGAAAATCGTTTCAAAATCAAATTGATTAATCAATATAAATAGCCACTTTTCGGTTATATGTCGGCAACAACATCATCGCAGACGATGGTTAGAAAAATTCAATACTCTACTCTGTAGGCTATGATCAAAAAATTAAAAAAACTACTTTTTCAATCAAATTCAGCGAACTGTACTTTGAAAAAATTTAGCTATTTCAAAAACCAGGGACGAAGAATCGATATGATCAGCGCACAGCCCACGATATCGTGTACGCCAAACGCACACAAACGGTCTGCGAACATTTCACGAAGTTTCAAATATTATTTCAAACATAAAGGAAGCAAAAATGCCCATCCAATAAAGTGATTGCGAGTGAGCTAAACGCATGAAATGATCAAATTATTGTACTAAAAATGTGCAATTTTGTGATTGTGAAAAATTTACCTGTTGGCCTAATCCTAAGCATAGAAAACCATTCCGAATAACCATACTGTGATGAATTATTGCAACAATTAAGTCACTTTTGTTTTGTACGTCCGTTTTGATGGACTCATGAAATATCGCAAATGCATTCGATACTATGTCGATCGACATGTTTGTATTTTTGTGATTAAAAAACAAATTTCACAGTTTTATAAAAAATATAAACAATTTTTCTGTCTTTTCTTTTTCGAATAGTTCAACACTTTTGGTATAATTTAAAACAATGACATTTTCTTTTTGACACATTGACATATCTATTTTTTTTATTCTAACAAAGAATCACATTGAAGTTGTACACAAATGAAATGTTCAATTTCACATACGCATCGATTCATTTATACTTCATTTCGCCTTATCATCATTAATGTCAAAAAATCAATGGAAATCAATTGAAATGAATTTGCTTGAACAATGATAACTTTAACATCAAAATATTTGAGATAATTTTATGTTCAGTAAAAATGTTGATAAATTTTCTCAATCAAATGTGACAATCTATCAATAGAGACATCTATCGGAATTTTAAAGTAACATTTTTATTTTATTTTTTTTTCTCATTTGATACGATTGTTTATGATTTTTTTTTTCGGTTATTATTCGATTGTTTCATTGAATGATTAAAAAAAAATAAATCCAAAACAAAAAAATTGTGTTGTGTATTGTTCGAATCAATTTCCATTTGCTTTTTCTTTCATAAGAGAGAGAGAGTGTATGAGATGGAGAGGAAGAGAGAGAGAGAGATTGAGCAAGCAGAAGAAAAAAATTCAAAAAATTTAACAGAAGAAAGTAAAAAAAACGGGAGAGATAGAGAGAGAGAGAGAGAGAGAGAGAGAGATAAGAAAGAGAAGAGATAAAAGAAATGCAAAAAAGTAGTTTTTTAGCGTGGTTAAAACTGATTTTGCAGTGTGTGTGCGTGTGTATGTGTGTATATGTGTGTGTATGTGTGTATGTGTGTATGTGTGCACTAATACTAATAAACGTGGATTAAACCCGCTTTTTCATACTACTTACAGTCACTTAAACAGAATATAATCAGATGAGCATCATCAAATCACCTTAAATTAGTGTTTTTCGTCGATGACTTGATGCCATTCTCGTGCAGGTAAAAATTATGCTGATTAACACCATCATTTGAACAGCAGCAAGCACCAGTCCGCCAATTAAAAAGAGTTTAGTGTGATGTTCATACCATGTACTCAGATGTTCCAGGCAACTTTGACTGTACCGTGCATGATTGTATTCGTGTTTCAATAAAGATTGACAAAGCGAAATATTTAGTGGTTTCGGGTCGAGATAAGAGCGTTTCTCATGGCTATTTTGAAGAATGCAACACGTCGCTGGAACGACCCAATCCCGTTTAGCATAGTTTTGTAGTTTCCAAAGTGACATATCATAATCCAAATTGCTACTGATTGCACAGCATTTGAAGTGAGTTTGAACCAAATCGATTGATGCCGTCAGCTGAAAAGTCATCAATTTTTTCTAAATCGCCTGCTCAAACACATAAATAAGAGTTCAATTTTACCTGTTCTTTTCCGGGTACGCCATAGCTAGACTGCAGCATTTTCACCATGAGCGATTCATCCAAGCTTAAGCCAATACATTGTGGCCATACAGCTGCCATCGAACAAAATGAAAACTCAACTAACAACCAACATAACACTATCAAAAAGTACTGGAAATCCAATAGAATACTTGTTAAAAAAAAAACAAACAAAATTAAGGCAAAAACAAGTACAAGTACATACAATGCTCAACACAAAATAGTTACTCAAGCAGGTAATTGCCCACCATCCAATCAAAGAAATGAATATTGCAATTAGTCCAGCTCCTGCTAGACCGAGTGCAATGTAGTAGAAAAATGGGTGTTGAAGACTCGATAGTGTTTCACTATTGGCTGCAATCACTCGCGATAGTAAAATCCGATTTGAATCAGTGAATAATTTGAATCCAGCAGACAGCAATGCGAAGCCACAAGCCTTTTTGTGTGTTTCCATCATAATATTAGAAAAGAAAGACGTTTGTCTACATCACAAAATGTGTTAAAATTAATCAAAGTCCACAATTGGCTCACCGTCAGTGTAAAATTGCTCAACACAAGCACAAGCTTGTCGTTTAAGATTTTCATAGTTTCTCTGGCCAAAAACAATTCTAATTCTCTAAATAATTTGAATCAAAACAGGTTCACTTAGAACATTTTGAACAACTCGAATTCGCTCCACGAATATTATGTTTAACAGCACATTGTGCACGCAATACTGAAAATAAAATACTCTTTCAGGTGCAAAATATGGAAAGTAAAACCAAACAAAAAAAGTTCGAATCATCATCGCATTAAATTGTGCATCAATAGAAATTCAATGACACCCGAAACAATACAAAAGAGTTTGTATTAAAGTGCACCAAACTGTATTGTACGCGTTCGTATTGTTAAAGCGAATAATGAAAAAAAAACCGTTGACCGGAAGAGCGTCACACATTAATGATCGTGAGTTGTGTAAACATATACACAATTTTGTGGCCTGTTATGTTTATTTGATTCTTCAAAACACAAATGAAGTTGTTTTTGAACATATTTTATTTTTTGATATATTAATTAAACACTTTTATGTGATGGAATTTGGAGAAAAAAAATCATTCAATGAATCAACCAGAACCAGGGGTCAGTTTTAATAGTTGTCACGATTGAGGGCCTCCATTTCCGATCGGATACTGTTTACGATATCGGCCAATGCTTCAGGATGGACACCCGCTTCACATAGACGGATGCAAACATCTAAAGTTTCAGCACTGAGACCAGTATTGAGTAAGTGTGACATGTTGTAAAGCGTTTTTCGAACTTTTTGCGACTGTTGTAGTTGAATGTAATTTTGCTCATTTCCATTGGTACGTGCCTCGTTCGTTTGATCGGAAGATGACATGATGTTGCGATTCCTCATAGCTATATGGAACACAAAGCCAAATATGTTGTTTTTTTAAATTGAAATTGAATGAAAGTATGAACAAAAGAACACATACTGGATTGTAAAAATGAATAGTGTGTAAATAAAATTGGTTTTTCCGGGAATGTAATGTAACACAAAAATCAAAATTCGAATGTTTTCGGAAACAAGAAATAAAAATGAAACTAAAATTTGTGAGAGTATTCTTTCTCTCGTAAAACAGTCAAAATAAACTGACCTTCTGGTATTCGGTTTTCAAGGAATGTCAAAATCAATGAAGATAAAACAATAAATTTGACTTCGACAGTAGAATAAATGTAGTACTAGATTTTAGTCGTACTAGGTCTACACACAACAATGACAATTCAATGAATGATACTTTTAATGTAAACACACGTGTTGGCTTGACTAGAATTGAATGTGATTTCAAAAAAAGTTTTAGTAAAAATTCATCAACATATTTGAGATAGAATCCAATTATTATATGTTGATTGGTAACATGTCAGCGCCGGTAACACATACTACTAAAAAGAAATCCTGGCGCGAAATCCATCGTGAACAAAAGGAACAGCGAAAAGTTTATCGTGAACAAAATTTAGAGAGGAAATTGGAAAAGCAGAAAAAGCGTGAAGAGCTCCAACGACAAAAGGCTGAAGAAGAAATTCAAGAGAAAGCTACACCGGCAGTATCAACACTCAGTATTGCTGTGCCCGGATCAATTCTAGAAAATGCTCAATCGGAAGAATTGCGTACCTATTTGGCCGGGCAAATCGCAAGAGCCGCTTGTATTTTCAAAGTGGACGAAATAGTTGTGTTTGATGATCTTGGTGAAGATAACGCCAAGCGTGCCAAAAGATCCGGTGACACTTGGCAAGAGGAAGACAATGAAACTAAAAACGTTCGACATTGCTGTGTGCAACTGGCCCGAATTTTACAGTATCTGGAATGTCCACAATATTTGCGAAAATTCTTCTTTCCATTGCATCGAGATTTGAAATATACGGGACTTTTAAATCCACTGGACGCACCACATCATTTACGGCAACAAAGCGAGTTCATTTTTCGGTACCCATGTTTTTTCTTCTACTTTTTCACTTTGAATGAATATTTTGTCGTCAAATAAATCCAAAACACATTCTATTGACATTTTAGCGAAGGTGTGGTGAGCGGAAAACCGCCAAAACAAAGCAAAGGATCCTACGTCAATATTGGATTGCTCAATGACTGTTTAGTTGATAAAATACTTACGTCTGGTTTAAGAGTCACAGTTAAATTGGAGCCCGATCAAGAATTGAAATCAAAGAAGATCCGCGGAAAAATTGTGTCGCCGTTGCAGCCGCGCCTTGAAACCGGTGGTAAGTTTTGTAAATTTACTAGAGCAACAACAACAAAAACTACAGTATGTGCACGAGCAAAAGTCGTAAATAATCATTTTTATATTAAAAAATAGTTTACTGGGGTTACCAGGTTCGGATAGCCAAAACGTTTTCAGACATTTTTACCAAATCTATTTACGAGAATGGGTACGATTTGACAGTGGGCACTTCAGACAAAGGCACGGATATTCACACAGTTGACAACAAAACAATGAAATTCAATCACGCAATTATTGTTTACGGTGGTGTATTGGGCTTAGGGGCAGCCATCGAAAATGACGATGAACTAAATGTTGATGATCCGAGTCTATTGTTTGACGAGTATATTAATGTTGCGCCAAATCAGGGTAGGTGAAAAAATTTCGCATAAAATTATCACACATACATGCAAAGTCATAATGATATTTTACTTCATTGATTAGGTTCGCGTACAATTAGGACCGAGGAGGCAATACTGATTTCACTAGCTGCTCTAGAAGAAAAAATGGAACCACTGCATCGGCCAAAAGTATTCGACTTATCGCATTCAATTCCTCAGAGTGAGGATACGGGCATAAAACCATCATTCAATGCTGTTTCCGCGAAGCGAAAACACAAACAATTTCAAAACCAAAACGATACAAATAGCAGCGTTGCTTCACCTAACAATACATTTGTAGAAGAAAGTGTTACAGCTGAAGATTGAAAAAAAATGGAAAAAAATTAAATTTAAATAGAACCAAGTGCGATTCAAACGAATTGTTTTATTTATCTTCAACACGGATTGTTGATACATTTATAAAAACACAGTGCACTTTTCCTTCCAGTATCGCCACATTCAAGGGACAAGGCCACATATTTAAGCCTAACTTACAACATTAAAATCTACTTAAATCTACTCCTATGAATTGAATGCGCGCTAGCATTTTTCGCGTTGTATCGACGCTGGATAACGAGTGTTTATTGTATTCGTGATTGCTGCTGAGCGATGTATCGTTATCCCATGTACGTAATGTATCTTACAGCCTCAATGTCTCCACACTAGACCATTGTCGATATTCATTGTTGTGTGATGGTGCTGAATCAGCATTGTTCACTCCATCAGTTTAGAGCATTTAAATGCCAGTTTTTTTGGAAAACTACTCAGACTCAATCTCTTTGATTTGAACCTGACCTTATTCTATAAATTCTTACCGTTAAATTTGTATCCCAATGCGACTGGTAAAAATAGTTTGAACAATGCATAAATGCAACGATTTCATCATTTGGCACAGTTAATAAAATACGATGCCACGAATATTTCACAATTTTCAGGTAAAATGGAATTCGGATGCAAAAGCTATTGCCATATAACATTTAAAAAAAAATCGTTACATTTTTTCTACTTAGAAATGTCGGAAAAATATTACAAAACTGTTTATTGGTTCATAGATTTTTTATTTGAGTACTTGAAAATTCAATGTTTGCGAAGTGATCTGAGTCATTTGTCAACGATGAAAATGCGTCAAAATTGGCAAAATTATCTACAGCCGCGTTTTTGTTGTTCGAATCACCACCATTACCATTAATTGTTTCAGTCCGGTCAAATTCACCACTTCCTATTGAAACGTTAGCATTAATCTGATCCGATGCTTTCTTTGAAAGAGTTTTTTTGCTTAGATCTTCTATGATAAATCGTTTTGTTTTTTTTACGATGATGCGATTGAAACAATTTTTTGAGGGAGCCCGAAAGAATGAAAGGAAAAAAAAACAAAACAAAACAAAATTAGTTATGATTCAGTAAAAGTTGAATTTATTCCAAAACTTTATATAATATCTAAAATAAATGTTAGATGCTTACTAAGGAATGATTTT